TGTGGGCCACCCCGCCGACCACCCGCCACCCGCGTTGGCTGCACGCGCTCTCCCGCGGCGGCTCGCACCTTGCGCTGGCCTCGACGACCTGGCACGACTCCCCCAACCTCTCCCGACCACCGGGCGCCCATTAGAGCCACATTAGAGCCACCAGAGCTGCGGTTTCCTCAATCGTGAAATTCGCTGGATCGCACTTCCTTTTCCTTCTCACTTGCAGATATTTGCAAGTCCGTGGGTGTCTGCGGCGTGGACAAGCTGCTGGACTCACAGCCGCACATCTTCATCAGCACCCGGCTCGTGTCAGACATGTCATTTTTAAAAAACGTCTCTTCTTGCATCATTGTGCCTTTTCCCACCTCAGTGGTAGCCCCCGCGGACTTCCAGCGCCACATCACCCTGTGCCACCACCAGTCCAGCGCACTCCCCCACCCCGTTTTTGATCCCATCCCCGCTGCACCCCTGTAAAATGTCTGTGTATACAGTTGCCCGTTTTTACCATCATTTCCTCCCCGCCCTTTATGCTCCTGCTGGGTGGAGCCGCTCTGGTGTTTTTCCTTCTCCTGGCTCACGTCACGAAGCATGAGCCCTTCCGGCTCCGTCCATGCTGCCGCCAAAGGCGTGACTCTGTCTTTCTGATGGCCAAGTACTAGTCCACCGTGCAGGCGGACATCTTTTTAATCCAGGCTGACACAGCAAAAGCCCATCTCGTCCTTTGGGTGGCGTCCTCAGTCCGGAAACAGACGCCAGCGCCGCCCCCCCGATGGTCCCCTGGGCAGCAGGGGCGGGCGCGAGCCAGCCCACCCTGGGCCACTTTGTTCCCACCCCAGCCCAGCCAGCCGGCACCACCGGCGCGGGCCGTGCTGCACCAGCCCTGTCCACCTACATGTGGCGAGGACGGGCACCCCGGCGGGTCCAGATGGCACAGGACTCGGATGAGCACAGGCGCTGCCCTCCCCAGGGGCGGCCCTGGCTGCAGGCCACTCCCCACTCCCCGCCAGCAGCAGGGACACCGAGACGCCACCCTGTCCTTGAGGCGCCCGCGCCTGACTAGCTGCCCGCGTGTGAGACTTCCTGGCGGGTTAACTGGACACCACACACTTCCTGTGCACGTCGGCCACCGGCCGGCCCGGGACACCAGGCCCCTCCGGCGACGCGCGAGCCCAGAGGCCGGGGACAGGCGCGGAGGCCGGCCTGG